AAAACAGCGAATGAATGCTGTTTTTACCCAGGAGAAAGATATTGAAAGGTTCAAATAATTTCATGCAACTTTGGATGCAAAGTTTTACATTTGCAAGTGATTGAATCCAACAATTTGAGTTGTATCTCCAATGTTTTACCGTGTTTTAAGTACCCGAAAACAAAAGAAAACGTTTTGGTATTATGGTACAAAACCAAGAGGGCTGAAAATCTATCTAGTGTTGGTAACTTGGACATGTATTTATTGCCTGTGAACCTGGGTCACGAGCCTTGACCCTCGGACCGGGATCCGGGATCCGGGATCCATGCTCGGATGCCCGGCCCGACTATTGTCAATACCGGCAGGAGTATTTTTCCGATTTCTCTCTTGAACATGTACCGTACTACGGTCTTTTGTCCTTTAAACTTTTATTTCTGAAAATTTCCGTCATGAGTTAATATAAAGATCTCATTTTCCCCTATTACATGTTTACTCACAGTCCGTTTAATTTTTCGTCCAAAACCCCAAGGGGTTGGTTTTAGAAAGCGAGCAAAGAGTTGGAGCCTCTAATTCAAGTTCAAACTTCTACGGATATATTCTTTCGGGCTATTGATTTTAGTTTTGGTATAACGTTTGATCTAAGGGTCAAAAGTACGTTATCGTCTCATGTGATAACAAGAGAATATGAATTATTCTATCACCAATATTTTGTTGGATGCCTCTTATGTAAAAAATAAATATATAAACAAGCTCAAGGGAAATGGACTAAGGTTTACGTAGGGGTGGGCATAAAAACCACCAAACCAGAAAACCGAATCGAACCATGACAAAAAAAAACATAAAAAAACGCATTGACCAAAAAACGGAACAAAAACTGAACCAAACCGTTTCAAATGGTTCTGGTTTCGGTTTAGAAATATTAAAAACCGAAGGAACCGGACCGAACCGCTTTTAATATAAATTATTGTTTTATTATTTTTTTATTAAATAAGACATTTTTCCAAGAAGACCCTGTGCATAGGGGTGGGTTCAAAAAACCGAAAACCGAAAAAAAAAAACCGAAAACCAAACCGAACCGAATTGAAAAAATCGAACCGAACCGAATTCTTTTGGTTCGGTTCGGTTTTAGTGATCTAGAAACCAAACCGAACCGAACTAATTAAATTAATTTTTTTATTTAATTATTTGTTTTGGGTATTATTTTATAAACCCAATTTGTAAGTTAAAATGTGCTAAACCTAATGTGTTGCCAAACTTTAAGCTCAAAATATTTAAAAAAGGCCTATAAAAACTTTAAACCCTAACCTATTATTTCTCCCCCATATAAGGTTTCGGAACCAAACCTCCTCCTGAAGTACCTACATCCATCTCCATAGCACTGTTTACTTCAGCCCCAGCTTTCTTTTCCAAATCTACTCTCATATAACATGTAACAGAATCCATAAACATTTATTTCGGGTAGATTACTTGCGTAATTTGTGATGGAAAAGAATCAAACACACACTAAATAAATCCACTCACGCATTACTTTTACTAATCAAGTTGTCAACATGTAGTTACAAGCAAACAACCCTGATCTTTGAACAACATCATACAATTTAACTTTTCTAAGTCATTTGTACGATTTTGTGTTGTGAGGTTGTTAGTTTGGACTTTGAAAAACTTGATTGATGATTTTAGTTTAACTTTAAATGTTTATTTTCATTGTCTTTGATTCTAGTTAGAATGTTTATGTTATGATTGTGTTGGAGATGTTAAAATTTTAAATTTCAATGTCTTTCATTTTTTGAAAAAAACAAAACAAAACAAAAAACCGAAACCGAATCAAAACCGAACCGAAAAAAAATGAACCGAACCAAACCGAAATTTCGATTTGGTTTCGATTTTGGCAAAAAAGCGAACCGATTTGAACCGAACCCACCCCTACCTGTGCATAAGCCCAATATTTTTTTTCACTTCTCTCCCCCTCCTTTGTTGTAATATGACTTTTCTCCCCCTACATTAATTTTCTCCATTCTTTTCCAGTATATTGTGCATTATGTACATTTTAGTTTTAGTTTAAGATCTACACTTTGGTCTTGATATGAGCATTTCTATCTTTTGATTTATATTTATATGCACACTTTCTATCTTTCGGTCACAAATCTTGTAAATCTAATAGTGGGAACTCAAATTTACTTGAATTTGTGGTTGAAATATGTGTTTGGTATTAGAAGTAGAAAATTAATAAAAACATATATATAATTTTGGTTAGAATCGTAAACCGACATGAACCGAACCTGAACCGTCAGGAACCGAACCGTACGATTTTAGTAATAAATTTAAGAGGAACCGCACCGAATCGAACCGTTGAAATTTTCCGATTCCGGTTCCATTTTGAAGGTGGAACCAGATCGAACCGGACCGTGCCCACCCCTAGGTATATGTATTATACTTCTAACTGACAGATCACATACGATACCGTAGGGAAGCTGTAGACAATAACGAACAAAACAAGATCGATGTGGGCAGCGAAACGGTGAGCATTGGTTCCGAGGGAGTGGGGGAGTCCAGCAACCCCTTTGCTCGCCAACATTTCCAAACCATTTGTCAGCAGCAGCGCTCTCCTCCTCAAACCTCTCAAACTCTCAAACTCAATGCTTTGCTCCGCCACTCACAGCTGAGACCGCGACTGAGACCGATACGCGCCGCTGCATACACCTTCCCCTGAAAACTCACGCTTTACGAAACCCTCCAATCTCCGACGACGATGGGGACCCTGGGCAGAGCAATCTACACCGTTGGATTCTGGATCCGCGAGACCGGCCAAGCCATTGACCGCCTCGGTTCCCGCCTCCAAGGCAACTACTACTTCCAAGAACAGCGTACGCCCCCAATTCTTCTCCTTCATCTCTCATTTCCTCCAAACCCTAACTCACGCAGATTACTCATTCCTGATTCTGTGGCTTTGTTTATTGAATATTGAATCGAATTTTGAGATCTGCGGAGGTTGGATTTTGCTTGATTGTGTTGTGATTGTTTTGATCAGTTTCGCGGCATCGGACGCTGATGAACGTGTTCGACAAAGCTCCGGTGGTCGATAAGGAGGCGTTTGTGGCACCCAGTGCGTCGATCATAGGCCAAGTTCAGGTGGGCCGAGGCTCCTCCATTTGGTACGGTTGCGTTTTGAGAGGTCAGCATTTCTGTGAATTTGATCATTATATTTTGGTTGTTAGCAAAGTTGATTAAGATAATTTTAAGTTTTAACTCCTAAAGTAGGATAATTTTGTTTTGAGAATCTATTTATGTGAAAAATTAGGCCAATTTGTTGTTGCAATTACAAGTGTAATCACGAACCTTGATTTATTTACTCCGATTGTTGTTTTCGGGTGTGAAGGCGATGTTAACAGCATCAGCATTGGGTCTGGGACCAACATTCAAGACAATTCCCTTGTTCATGTGGCAAAATCTAACTTGAGTGGCAAGGTTTTGCCTACCATTATCGGAGACAATGTCACTGTAGGTGAGTTACATGTGATTGTGTTTCCGGTGATGTGGTTGCTGCTTTAGGATCTGATGCTGGGCTTGTGGTTTTTGATTTGAACCGTGCAGGCCACAGTGCTGTCTTGCATGGATGTACTGTGGAGGATGAGGCATTTGTAGGCATGGCTGCAACCTTGCTCGATGGGGTTTATGTCGAGAAACACGCCATGGTTGCTGCCGGAGCTCTTGTAAGGCAGAACACAAGGATCCCCTGTGGAGAGGTATGTCAAAACTCTCTTTATTGACGTGGAATGTGACAATTCCGTATCGAGTTAAACTAGTTTCTTGATTTCACAAACTCTTAGTACAAAGTTCACGTAGGAAGTTATCAAGCGACTCAGTGTGAGCTGCCAACTTTTAAACTGAATGTAGCTCTTTTTGTTAATCATTTTTAACGACCAACCTGAATTTTTCAAACTGGTTGTTTACTGAATGTTTAATAACAGGTATGGGGAGGGAACCCAGCAAAGTTCCTGAGGAAGCTCACAGAAGATGAGATGGCCTTCATCTCCCAGTCAGCCTTAAACTATTCCAACTTGGCTCAGGTTCATGCAGCTGAAAATGCAAAGCCCCTCGATGAGATAGAGTTTGAGAAGGCGCTGCGAAAGAAGTTTGGACGCCGTGATGAGGAATATGACTCTATGTTGGGTGTCACTCGTGAGACACCGGCAGAGATTACTCTTCCTGATAACGTATTGCCACCTAAGTCTGCTTAAGCAAGTACGACTATTAATGATGTTGGTAAGGGTACCACCTCTTGAGATTTAGTGTGAGTGTTTTGTTCATCTGCGGATTTATGGCGAATGGCTGCATTACATTTCGAATAATTTTTGGGGCCGGCTGAAGTGCATATGGCTCTGCCCGTCCTTTCTGATTGATCAGCAACTTTCTCTTCTGTTTTTGAGAAGAAAAAGAAAATTGCTGTAATGGAACGTTTCGATGTTCTTAAGGCATCTTGGAAGGTCTCTTAGATTTGTAGTTTAGAGGTTGATTGCTTTTATATATGCGTTATGAAAAAAAAGGAAGTGAAATCAGGCATCGGAGCCTGCTAATACTTTTTGTTTTGTTGTATCTTTTGAATAATATTGCATTCAATCCCCATCTTTTCCTGATTTAGTTGTGGCCTTAGAAAAATTTTCCGTTGTGCCGAGAACAGAACAGCAAGTGTCATAATACAATTGGTTGAAATTTTTTTTTTTTATAAGTTTCCAACCAATTGTATTGTTACAGGTGTACCGAGCTGGGTTATTAGCATGGTGAAAAATTTCTCGTGGCCTTAATAAGAATCATTAACAGTTTTGAAACTTGAATTTATAATAATAAAAATGGGGTGTGTTATTCACAACCCTTTCTTATTTTTCACACTTCTTGTTAATTTTTGTTATTTCATCTTGTTCAATTCATATGATTCGACGGTCGAAAATTAGAAGGGTGTATGAAAGTAAAAAAAAGTGTGGATGTCACACCCTTTAAAAGTAATTGTTCTCATATTTAAGGTGTGCAATCGTAGATTTTGCTTCGCTACGCCTTAAATCAATCAAGAATACATTATCCATTTCGGTTGTGCGAGATGGAGAATGTGAGTCATGTAGGCAAAGTATTTCGGATTTGACAAATTTCTAGCAGAGTTAGATCTTTAAAAGTGAAAAAGAAACTAGACGGGTTATGATCATCGTGCAACATTTTAGGATGAGAAGCCGAGAACGTAGAATGAGAAGACCCGACAGAAAAGATAATGTCCAGTGGCCATGTTGCGAGAAGCGTTATAGAGACGAAAGGACTGGTTAAGGAAGTCGGAAGTAGCTGGGTTACTGATTCGCGCTGCCATGAACACGTCACCAGGCTCTCTGTATGAGAAACCAAGACAAGTAAGAGAACATCTTTTGTTATGGATGCTAAGCTGGCGAAGGGCCGAACCCACCATTGTAATCATTGAGGTAAAGTTGCAGATGGCCGTCGAGCTTGCCAGTTCGAGTATTCAGTTCATCCAGAAATTCAACGCCAAAAGAAAAAACTAATGAATTGAAATTCAGGAACATTGCATTGAAATACCCTCAATGTTAACAGGTTAGAACCTCCATTGGACATACCGAGAAATGCAGTGGAATTTCTTCATTCTGGTTTAGCCTTCACGTCGACCTTGTCCTCCTGGGCTGGTGGAACGACGACCCTAAATGTCCATATTGCCAGCAGAGTTGCCTCCATCGGGGCGAGCCAGTAAACCATGATATGCTCCTTCGTGAAATGGTCGCCACGAGCGTAAGCCCATCCCATCACCTGCAAAAGTCAGCAAGGTTCAGGTATAGTGCATTCAAGTTACGTAAGTTAAATCTCAGAAACGCCTGTAGGTACTTACAGAAGCCGGGTTCATACAACCGCCAGTCAGATCAGAGCCGAGAATATGAAGAGTTAACTTGGAAACGCTCGAGATCCAAGTCTTCGTGAAGAAACTCCCGGGGATTTTTCTGGCAAGCCCAAGCGAGACGGTAACAATCGCAAATGTCAGCAACCCTTCTGTGAGCGCACCTCGATGGAGGTCAACGTTCAAGCGAGGACCATGACCTACTTCAGGAAAGGCCGCGATTATGAGCCAAACGCCAGCAATAGAGCCGATAACCTGATGAGAGGTAAACGAAGATAAATGAGTGATGTCGGAGAAACTACATGGTCATCGCTGTAAGATACACAAGTAACAAAATCGAAAGAACTAGCAAAAAATGCCATCTTCATTCTGCTTAGAGAATTCACATTCGGTTCCTTCTTCGTGTCCTCGAATAAATCGGACTTAAGGAAGAAGTATCTCCCCCACTAGGCCGCAACAACGGGTACTAATCCGTCATAGGGCGGCGGTGGGGGAAGGGCTAGGTAGCACAAAACAACCTCCTAGGAGCAAAATCTTACAACGACCGAAGACTCTAGCGAAGGGAGCAAGGGTATTGAAACAGGGTTACCCAAACTTCTACGTTAAATTTGTCAAAGACAAGACAAACAAGAACTAAAGAACAAGAAGCTTGGAATTCAAATTTCAAAACAACCTCCAAGAAACAATATAATTTGTTCGTTTATCACATAAATAATGAAACCATTATGTCACAAATGCCCAAATTAGAATTCGGTTTTTTAGTTAAAATAGTATCTGAGATTTAAAATCAATAGAATTGGTTTTTGAATTTGCCCACCATTAATCATTTTGGTTGTGCAAAATCTCCGCTAAATAAGAAAAAAATGATAAAAAATATGCTTAATTTTTGCAAGTCATTTTGGTTTGTTTATTAAATTGAGGATATTTTTCTGTTAAATATTTTAGTCAAAATTGTTCCTGGGATTAGCATAACTTTTTACTTAGAATTGACTCTTAAGTTTAGTTACCAAAAATCATTTTCATTATTTCGTAAAAAAATCTCAATTAAATAAGAAAAAAATAATAAAAATACCCTTAGTGTTTGCAAATTATTATGATGTATCAGTTATGCTAATGGCGGGCCATTTTAGATAAAAAGCTCGGAGTTCGACATCCAATCAACCAAAAAGAAAAAGAAAAAGCAATCGACTTTCCATTAAATATTCCGTCATTTTCATCAAAATTCTGTCTCAATCCAAACAAACGACCAAACAAGTGAAAGGGGGTCACCTGAGCAGGGATTCTGGCACCAACAGTGAAAAGGAAGCGGCTGAAATCCCCAGTAATTGCGCCGGACAACACGGTCAAAGGATTGTAGGTGCCGCCGTTGGTAACCTTTCCCAGCAACGCGAAGAAGAACATGTTCACAATCGAAAGGGCGCACTTGATGATCTCACCGCCGGGTCCGTGACCAAACCCCAGAATGCTGAACACGTAGATCTTGATCAAGACCCCCGACCATACCCACATGAACGAGATTATCATATCCGACACGAGCAAACCAATCCTCCCCATGTCTGCCGCGCAGCAATCTGGACAGTCGGTCGGTCAGCGGGGCCGGGAGGACGATGGCGGCGGAAACTGCCCTTTGAGAATTTGAAGGAAGACGATTGGCTTACTTTGACCGGAAATAAAAATATAAAAAATGTCCGTGGGACGACGTTGATGTGTGCTTTTTTTTTTTTTTTGGTCAATAATTGATGTGTATTTTTGAAAGACAAGGTGAGAGGACAAGACGAACTTTCGCTGTTTTGTCGAGAAAATATTCATTCTGACGGACGGGATACGAATAGTACATCATGTGTTTAAATTATGAAAAATTTTATTTTTTAAGTTATTAATTTTTTAACATATAAATTCTTTCATTTGTATAATAACATGTGTTGTACTATTTTATTTGCCGATCATACTAAAAAATCTCTCGTTTTTGTTGGTTGCAGATTCTCTATCTTTTTGTTTTGTCGGATTGTGGAATTTTTTTGTTTTATGCTTAAATTACGAGCCCACAGTAACGGGCCTTTTTAGGGGATAAGATTTAGGCGGAAATCTGGACTATACGTAGGTTTTTCTTATATTTTGGGCTTTAGATTTCAGCCCGTGTGTTCGTATTTATTTTTTTATACAGCAATATATTTATACTAAGGAGCTAAGAGAACAAATTGATATCAAACTTTTCGTTTATGAAATTCAAATTTAAAATTATCATCTATAAGTAAAGAGAAATACCACTAGACCGTAATATTAAGTTGCTCTATGCGTTCATATCTTATTTACCAGTTTATTTATCCAAGTGCAAAACCACTAGTCTCTTAGTTTTAGACTTTTAGTGGGAGTTGTCTTGATACATATAATGTTCAACTCACTTGTTTGCGAGAATGATATATAGTTTTTGTGAGTTCAACACATATCTAGTTGCGGTTGGCCTTGTTGTTGTGGCATACTTGTTGGAGTGTATTAATCTTTATGAATATCCTATCGTTAAAGGATGAGATCACATTACCAATTTAGTGACTAAGTACTTATACGATCACTCGATCTTGAATTTTATATTAAGGGTTGAGAAAAAAAACACTAAAAATACATCAACTTACTATTCAGCACTAGTATTAAATTCTATTACGCAAAATATATCACGAGGAATCTTATGCTCCCTCCACTCCAGGGGGGGTCCACTTAGTTAGATTCAGAATCTTGGTGACGTGGAAAAATTTGTGGTAGTGGTAGAAACTATATAGTATATGCTCAATGTGTCACGTTCTTCAAGCAATGTGGTTGTGGTTGGGTTATGGACCACTTCTCCTTACTCCCTCTGCAGCCATTTGTCTGGTCACGTGTCACGTTTCAATATCTTATACAAAAGCTTTACTATATAAATAATTAAATTAATGTCTCCCCTTCTCTGTTCTTTCTCTCTAAAAATCCAAACCAATAGAAAAGCATGGAAGCTTCCTTCTTTGGAAAAGGAATATTTTTGCACATTGCATTTAAGTGGTAGTAATACTCATTTTGGATGAGTTATTGAGATTTGTGTCTGATACAGATATCAAAATTTTAACTCATATAACGGTTATAAAAGGGTGGTGCATTAAAATATTCTCTTGTTTGGGACAGAATTGCAGAACAACCATTTAGTACTTATAAGTGGAAAGAGATATTCTCCGGATCCCTTCCACCTAATTCATCAAGGCCGGGGATCCGGACCATTAAAATTTGATCTAACGATTAAATTTATTATAATTTTTAAAGTGAGTCCATGTTTGTAGCCGTTAGATCAAATTTTAATGGTCCGAATCCCCGAACTTAGTGGATTAGGAGGAAGGGATCTAGAGATGATCCCTTTCCCTTACAAGTGTAAGTGATGATTTGACCGGGTGATTAGGATTTCGAGTTCAAACTTTCTTTCTTTTCTTTAGTATAGATTAGTATAGCATATTGATTGTAATATAAAAATATTAATACTCACCAATTCAAAAAAAATTCAACATTTTTCTAATAGTAATCTTTTCAACAACAGTACTTGTGGATATAAGTGTTTTTTTTAGAGAAACAGTTAATCGGGGCAATTACTAAAAAAATGCTCAATTGAGAGTGGTAGTTGTTTCCACTAATACCGAAAGAAGTTTCAAGTTTGACTCGTTACAATGGCACAATTTTGTTTGTAAAAGGAATTGAATCCTCTCCTAAGCAGGAGATCAGGATCTTGATATCCTGCTCAAGAGATGATCCAATTCCTTTGTAAAACAAATGTTTGGAAAAATCTTGTCGTTTAATCCAATTTGTTCAAACAAGAAATGGTCCACCTAGATATTTCTTTATGTGCAAGCCAAGAAATCGTTCACGTAAAGTAAAAAACTTGAGAAAGAAGACAATAGTTTAGTATTTTAAAGCGACTCGGATTACTTGAAGCATGGGTTAGTCAGAGGCTGGATGTCGTCACTATAAACAAAGGCTGACGACTACAACACGATCAAATCAAATCAAACATTTTATGTTATTGCTTTTTTAAGCACGCACTGCACATTGCCTTCATCTTGCAGTTTCAGGTATCTTCTTGTTCTTGCTACTGTAGTCTACTTTCACTTAGTAGAATAATTTTACATTCTTGTTCTGTATTAATTTATTTAAGGCATTTTAGTTAGATCGTAATACTAAGTTGCTCGGTGCATTCATATCTTATTTACCAGTTTATTTATCCAAGTGCAAAACCACTAGTCTCTTAGTTTTAGTGGTAGTTGTCTTGATATTTATAATGTTCAACTCACTTGTTTGCGATAATGATATATAGTTTTTGTGAATTCAACACATATCTAGTTGCGGTTGGCCTTGTTATTGTGGCACATTGATTTGTTGGTGTGTATTAATCTTTATGAATATCCTGTCGTTGAAGAACACATTACCAATCAATCTTAGATTTTATATCAAGAGTTGAGAAAAAAATATTAAATATACATCAGTTTATTATTTGACATTTATGTTAATTAGAATGTGAATAACTATACGTTAATTAATAACCAAGTAACCAAGAGAATAATTTTATTACGCAATATATATCACGAGGAATCTTATGCTCTCTCCACTCTAGGAGGGGTCCACTTAGTTAGATTAAGAATCTTGGTGACGTGGAAAATTTTGAGGTAGTGGTAGAAACTATATGCTCAATGTGTCACGTTCTTTACGCAATGTGGTTGTGGTTGGGTTATGGGCCACTTCTATTTACTCTCTCTGTGGCCATTTGTCTGGTCACGTGTCACGTTTCAATATCTTATACAAAAGATCTACTACATTTCTATTAATTAATTAAACATTCTTTGTTAATCACAAGATGATGAAAAGACTACTTAATCTTCTATTACACAAAAAATATGATGGGCAATAAATATAATGTAATTTCATAGGTCTAAATTTTATTATTTTTATTGAAGCATCACCTACATATGATATTAAATTACCTCCAATATTAAAAAACAAGAAACAAAACCAAAACCAAAAAAAAAAAACTAAAAACAAAAACCTCTCACTCTCCCCACATTCTCTCTTTCCCTCTCTTATTCTCATTTTCTAAAAAAATGTGTTCATACATATAAAGTGTGTAGTCAAATGCTAATAAATAATTAAATTGATGTCTCCCTTTCTCTATAAAATCCAAACCAATAAAAAAGCGTGGAAGCTTCCTTCTTTGGAAAAGGGAATATTTTTTGCTCACTGCACTTAAGTGGTAGTAATACTCATTTTGGATGAGTTTAAATATTAAGATTTGTGTTTAACTATTATACAGATATAAAAAATTTAACTTGTTGATGCACAAAACCGGAGGTCTTTGAACAACGTAAATCCGACCGTGAATCTGCAAGAAAGTAAATAACTCAAGATGTATTGTGGTTCACCCCAAGGTTTGGGCTACGTCTACACTAATATTGTATTTCTGAGAGGATTGTGAGGGAGAGAGTGTGAGGATCCTCATGGCCTAGGAATTGGCCTTTGGGGGTGAGAAGGCTTTTCTAATGAATAGAGTAAGCGGTCCTTTTATAGAATAAGGGCTCGTCACTTATTACATATTTGCTCATCTATTTATTACTTAATTACATTTGAGCCTCCCGAGTATTTATACGATATCTAAATACAGAGGCCCTAAGTATGGTATAAACATAACTCATCCAACGGTTATAAAAGGGTGGTGCGTCAAAATGTTCCCTTGTTTGTGACAAAATTGCAGAACAACCATTTAGTACTTAGAAATGTAAGTGATGATTTGATCCAGTGATTAGGATTTCGAGTTCAAATTTTCTTTCTTTTCTTTAGTGTAGAATAGTATAGCATATTGGTTGTACTACAAAAAAAATAATACTCACCAGTTCAAAAAAAAATTCAACGTGTTTCTAATAGTAATCCTTTGAACAATAGTACTTGTGCATGTAAGTGTTTTTTTTAGATAAAACGGTTAATCGAGGCAGATATCCAATTTGAATCCACAAATTACTAAAAGAATGTTCAATTATGAGTGGTAGTTGTTTCCGCTATTAATGAAAGAAGTTTCAAGTTTGACTCACTATGGTGGCATAACTCCGTTTGTAAAATGTATGTTTTAAAAAAGGGTTAATCTCTGTTTACTACCTTGAAATTTCGTGGTTTTCAACATTTAGTACATAGAGTTTTTTTAATCCTAGAGTCATATCTCAAGTCTTAATTTTGGGACAATATCATACATCCGTTAAATTTTCCGTTAGAAATTCTGTAACTGATGATGTGACGCCCACGTGGACAATAACTGAGTGCCACGTGTCAATATAGGCCCAATTCAATATTAAAAAATTAAAAAAAATACAAAAACACAACAAAAACAAAAACAAAAAACAAAAAAACCCAACCTTCCCTCACCCCCACACCCTTTCCCTTCCTTCCCTTCCTTTTTCTATTCTGTAAATCCCAGCACCTCACCTAAATCCCACCCCACCCAAAATCCCATCTCCCTTAAACCACCCCTTAGAAAACTCCGACCCGTCGGGAGGCGGCGGCAAGACGCGCACGAAGGCTGCGAAGGCCAGGTTGTGGTTACCGGTGAGGAATACGTGCTTTTGATTTGGTTTCCTAGAGGGTCAGGCCAGGCTAGGCCAGGTCATTGATGTTGTACAGGACCTCCACAAGTGTTTCAGCAAAGGGTCGAGCATTGATGATTGCTTCATGAGGCCTTCGAACCTTGGCAG